AAAAAAAAAAAACAAGTATTTTCGTAATTCGTCTTTTATAATGTTACAATAAAGGCAAATGGTAAATACATTAATCTTATCAAAAGTACCTTTTTTAAATATGCTCTATGTATTATTCAGAATTCTTCCCAACTTACAAAAATATGTTATTTGTACTTTTTGGTATAATAGTATCTTCGTGCCCTTATTCATCATTTTTTTGAATATAAAAGTAATTGTTGATATATATTTTCGGAAATATTTTTGCCTTTTCCTCAGTCGTTATTCTTGAGTTTCTCTTACATAGGTGATATCTCCAGGTCATTTATTATCTAATTACTAGATGACCTTCTTTGCAGACGAATGATAGTAAATTTCTTGTTTTTGGATCATTATTTAATTATCTAGCGACCTCCCTACAAACAGATAATGATAAATTTCTTTTTTCTGGATAAATTCTGGTATTTTTCAATTCTTGTTTACTTTCTGCCTCTGATCCTTGATCTTTTAGTTTCTGTAGTCTCTGTTCCACTATTTTCTTCGCTTCGCATTCAGAGACACACTCACTGCGAGAGATTAATTACGATTATTGATCGATATTTAACCTTTATTGATGTCATGAAGCGTTCGTTGCATTTCTACACTATTTAGTACATATAATTTAGATTGGGAAAAATACTATTTACAAAAAGTCATATATTATGAATACAAGTTATAAAATTTTAATACGTGAATATATTAATAAATTAGTCCCGTTGCAAGTAAATTAGTTGTTTTAGTTTTTTTTTATAAAAGAGTAGTTTTTTTTAAGAAATAATTATTAATATATTAATTACAAAGAAATTTTACTAATGTATCTCTCTCTTTTCTCGTATTCGTTCATTTATTGGTTTTTCTGGTTTTGCTGGTATTTCTGCTGGCATTTCTTCTGTTACCTGCTGATTTTGTTTCGACACCTTTAGTTTTGGTTTGAGTAAAAGACCGGGTCACTCGCAACTTTCGACCGTAACTTGGTTTATCTGCTTTTCTAAATTCTATTGAGGTTCATCATAATCCACTGGTTAAATTGGTTGAATAATTAGGCTGCCTTGTTCAATTGTATCTTTCTCGATTTGTTGTTCGTTTAAGAATCTTAATGAGAATATCTTAATGCTAATCGAGGCTTTTGATCTTATCTACTTTAATTACAGAGATGTCGGATGATTTACAGTATAGGATTGACAATTAATTTTTTAAGATTTATTAGAATAGTCAGAAGAATTTTCTCAACAGCTGAATAATAAGTAGCAGCAGAAAATAGTAATACCAGTAATATAGCAGTAATTATAAACCATTTATATTTTTAAAAAAATATTCCTTAATTGATTGTATTCTTTACTTTGTGCGCTGCATCCTGCATTGTATTTTCTATATTGTACAATACCTGATCTATTTGATCTTGAAAGAACAGCTTTTCTTCTGCTTGGTAAACTGTTCTTACTATTTCATCATTTAATTGTATTCTATCTGCTAAATAATCTATTTCTTTTTTTTCTTTTTTTAAATTGGAATCATAATAAGCTTGGGTTGTAAAATTGATGTGATCTTTACATAAATGCAATTCTAGATTATTATTTATCTCCGGTGCTGGTACATGTTGTTGTCCATTAGTCCAAATCTCTTCTTCTTTGTATACTGCTTTTAAGCGTTGCTGACAATTTGTTTGAAAAGACAATACTTCTAATATTCTGGTGTATAGAGAAGCCAATAGAATCTTATCCATTATTTTTATTGGTAAGTCCTCGTAACAAATTCCATCAATTTAATAATCTTAATATATTATTTCAGAAATGACTCTTTTGCAGGGAGCGATAAATAATACTTCTTCGGTTTCTACGGCTATTACATTTTCTCTTCTAAGTAGAAGTGTAGCCATCAGTGAGGGGTTATCTTTACTATTGTGTATTATTACTTTTAATAAGTCATTATTAATTGAGCATCTTTCTTTGAATGCATGATTGAATTTTTCTTTTAAATGCTTTACAGTTATGTCTTGTAAGTATTGTAATTTTGGATTGTTAAGATTGAATGATTGATTACTAGTGTGATTTTTATTAGTAATATTATTAAATTTTATAGTTGTATTTAATCTATAGTGATGCATTTTAAGTAATGAATTTTCTGTATTAAACACTGCTCCTCTTTGTAATTTTTTACTGTAGTAAATATTACACGCTTGTTCTTGAGCTGAATGCAATGCATATGACTTTTTGTATTTTAAGGCTAATCGTAATTCTTTTATATATATTGTCTTCTTTGTTATTTGAGCCTAATATAATCCCTTGTATTTATAATGACATTTGTGTATGAATACATTTGGATTTCATGTAAGGGTATTCTCTTTTGTTACACATTGTTCTTCTTGAGGCTGACATCCCGGAGCACTACCAAGTGTATTAATAATATAATTTTCGTCTGTTAATGCAATTTTTCTTTTTTTAAGATACAAGTTACAGATGGTAGTACATTTGGTTTCTCACCAGCCAAAACTATATTCTACAGGATTATTAGTAGCCCAACTATTATTACTTACTTGTTTTAATTTCAATTTATTTTAATATTTTGTGTTGATTAGTTCCTGACATAATCGAACAACAATAGCTTATTTAGTTGCTTTTTTTGTACTCCCATTCTAAGTTTAAAGAAGAGCTTAGTGCAGACTTCTCTTTATATGTTGAAGCAAGAGTGACCTACACTTTCAGAGATACCTCTCGTACAAAACTTTATTTCCATGGGTACAGCTGCAGAAAGTCTGAGATAAAGCAGTTTATAGATTCACGTATTGCTAAATACGTATCAGCTATTGGCTTGGTACACCAATAAAATTGGTTAAGTTCATCTTTTGATGTTAATGTAATTAATATCAATGTTAGAAAGGTTATAGAAATTTATATAACTTTTTTCATTATTTCATATATGTACTTTTTTTTCTCTTTTTTTTTTAAAAATTATTTAATTATTATAAGTTTTAAATAGCTAATTAATTTTATTGCAGTATGAATAAAACTAAGGAAAATCACCTAAAGATTCGGCTTGTAGATTTGAATCTGCTGGATGAGGCTAGATAATATATTGAGACGAGGCTTGAGAAGTGCTAGGTATTTTTAGAGAATAGAGATATTTAATAGGTCGATTAACAATTCTACCATTACCTAATTGTGTACGAGCTACTCGTATCTTTCCATCTCTACATATTATATTCTCTATTATTTGTACTAACCTCCGTTGGTTTCTAGAAGTATTTTCATCATACAAAAAAACTATTTCTCCTCTTGCAAATGTGTTTTATTTACATATTTAGTTTGCTTATGAATCATTTGATTTCTTCCTAATAGTTGATAAATATAATCTTCTTGCCATACAGCTCATAGCTTATCTAAAGTGCCTTTTAAACGATCATAAAATAATTTTAATTTTTCATGTTCTTGAGCTTTATCTTCTTTTTAGGCACTGTCAAAAAATTGCGATATTAAAAAATCAACTAGTCTCAAAATCTGAGCGCTATCTAGCTTAAATTGAGTTATAGGTCTATTATTCATAACCCTATTTGTATTACTAATTAAAATATCCACTTCTGCCTTAGTAAATAATTTTTTACGTATAGCCTCTTTTAAAGTATTTTTTACTAACTCTGCTAATCTTTTACAGACTCCTTCCTTTTATGAAGCATGTGCAGTTATAAACTTTTATTTAATATTATAATTATTAGCTAATGCAATGAATTGAGAAGCGTTATCCAAAGTGATACTTTTAGATTTGCCTCTGACTGCTATAAATCCTCAAAATATATGTTCTAAGGTAGAAGTACTTAGATCATCAGCTAGCTCTGAGTGTATTGCTCTAGTAGTAAAACAGGTAAATAAAGCAATCCAAACTTTAGAAACCATAACTTTTCTATAGGTAGAATTATCTACATTAGTTGGTCCCATATAGTCTAGACCTATATGCTAAAAAGTTCTGAAAGGAATTACTCTTTTTATTATTAAACTAGGCATTATTGGTTTCGACTTCCATCTCTTACAATAATAACATTCCTTTTTTAGAATTTTAAAATCGTTTGTCTTCCTTTTTCGTACCAATAATATTCTCTTAAACTACTTAGAGTATGCGAGACTCCAGCATGCATATTTTGCTCATAGCACTTTAAAATTAACAAATACGTTAGTCTGTCATCATTAGGTAGATACAGAGAAGGTTTCCAATAAGATGCATTGCCTAATCGCACATGTACTCTATATAATTTATTTGAATCTCTGTGTAGGTTCCATTTTTGTATTTTATTATTGTCAATTTTTATTTGAGTTTGTTTGACTAATATAGTTTCAGCATCAGTGCTTAACATTATGTCATCACAGAGCTGCTTTCTCACTTTCTTTATAAATTTTATTACATTTTTTACCACTCAGTCAAGTCTTTTATACGCACTATATCTACTTAAATCGAATAAAGGTTTGTGCTTTTTATTTATAGATTGACCAACATAATTGGAGGATACTGTACTTTTTTCTTCTTTATTTTCTTCTAGTTTAACACTAGATTGCTGCATATCTAACTGTATGTCTAATGGCCACTTACTAAATGGCTCAGTTAACCAGTCTGAACCTGACCACCAAAGGTCATTATTTTTTAATTCATTTGGAGTACATCCCCTAGATCCCATATCAGCCGGATTATCTTCTGATGGCACATACCTAAATTTTATTCCTAAATCTTTAATTGTTTT